ACAGAATTTCTAGGTTGGAAGAGACCTCAAGATCATCAAGTCCAACCTCTGACCTAACACTAACAGTCCCCACTAAACCATATTCCTAAGCTCTACATCTAAACGTCTTTTAAAGACCTCCAGGGATGGTGACTCAACCACTTCCCTGGGCAGCCTTTTCCAATGCCTAACAACCCTTTCAGTAAAGAAATTCTTCCTAACATCCAACCTAAAACTCTCCTGGCGCAACTTTAGCCCATTCCCCCTCGTTCTGTCACCAGGCACGTGGGAGAACAGGCCAACCGCCACCTCTCTACAGCCTCCTTTAAGGTACCTGTAGAGATCAATAAGGTCACCCCTGAGCCTCCTTTTCTCCAGGCTGAACAAGCCCAGCTCCCTCAGCTGCTCCTCGTAGGACTTGTAAGACTTAATTCATTACTAACCTTTGCATAAATAGCTAACCTGATATTTTTGCTGCCCCCAGGTCCTTACTGGTCTTGGGGAGGAGCCGCCACCTTATCCATATGCTTCCCCATGTTGCCCTACCCCTCAGAAGAGGGCTGAATCTGCAGATATCCAGCTGTCAAAAATGCATACAAGAGTTACCAATTGTCTAATACATTCAGTGTTTATAACCAGTTTTAAAGCAGGTAATTCATGTTACAAGGAAGATTGATGTCCTCACAAAGGGCAGTCAGTACCTTGAAACCAGCAGGGGTAATTAGCAACTAGCAATGCACTGAATGGACAAGAAGGAAAAGAGAAACAAAATAGAAAAATAAAGTTTTTTTTAATCATGTAATACCATTCTCTTAAAACCTTCCTCACTGTGTGAGAGATGACAATGGATTGAACTTTGAGGAACACCCCTGGGAATCACATCTCATTTGTCTTTTGTTGCTTTACATCATACTTGAGAACCAGGAATGTTTTATTTGCAATGTCTTCACTTGAGATCATCTGTCTTCATGTACCCCTGCAATGCAGCCAGTTCTAGGAGATGCCAGCACTGTACAGAGACAACATTTTTCAGTGTCTATCTCCTCTTTACAAATAATTTCTCAAAATTCTTGAAAAACATCACACCAAACACACTACACAGACAGATGGCAATGAAGCCAGTGGGTGCAGATCAGGGCAAAAAGTAGTTAATGATACAAAGTAATCAGGCAGCAGGTTCAATATTTTCCCCTAAAAGAAGGAAGGGGAAGCATTTAAAAGAAAAACACATAAAAAATGTTATTCACACACAAATTATGACTGCCCATTTACCCTAACACTGAATAACTGTTCAAGGAGATACAAGTACCATAATATTTAGGCACATTTTCTTCCTTGGCACAGGTGGCTGCTGGAACCTAATCAAGTAATAAAATGCTCCAAGTTCTTCTGCTGTTCTGATAGGTTTAATTCTTTCATTTTCCACACCCCCTTAATATACAATTAAAAAAAAATAATCCAGCAACTTTGAGCTAAGACATCTACAAAACAAACTAGAGTTGGCTCATGAGTAAACCACTCCAATTATCCCTGTGAAATAAACTGTTGAATTTCTTGTCATCTTATATCATAAAATAAACATTTTTCTCTGGAAAAGAACGCATCCCCCCACTTTCAAGAAATGGAGGAAGGCTGTTCTTGGAAACTCTGTTTTGTTGATTATACATGGGCAGATCCAACAGAAGCTAAAGAGGCTCAAGTATGGCAATCTATCTGCTTTGTATAGAGCAATTTTGGGGATGAGGGCAAACAGTATGAGAGACAGATGGCAGAAGTATTACATACCAGTACACATACAGCTGATCAGAAGCACTATCTCATTAGTGACACAGCAAACCATTAGACTACAAACCTTGTCCCAGATAAATCAGTATTTTTAAACATTTCCAGATCTGAGGTTGGATGAGACCATTCTGGAAGCTGACCACTACTTCCAAGTAGGAAGCACGGAGTCCAGATTCAGGTCCATTGCTCAGAAAACAAGCTGCAAGCTTGTGTTAAACCATTCAAGTTTCTTCAGATTGCCAAAGTCAATCTGAAATTTTACAAAGAAAGGCTGTCCAATGCTCTTGCCATCAGAGACCATCTTCTGTAACACTCAGATAGGGTGATAATGAGTGGTCTATAAAACCTGAGACAGGTTTAGATAGACCAGTCTTGCATGACTAACAAAACTTCCTTTTATTCCATGCCAGAAACAATAGAATCCAAGGACCAATACAGTTTACAAATATCACAAAAACAAACAAAACAAACAAACAAACAAACAAAAAAAACCCCACAGCATTTCCAGAAGGAAGAGAGACCTTTTACTTCTCATTTAAACTGGCATATACAAAATAAGTATTACACCATTACTTCCTTAAAAAGCACCAAATTCCAGAGACCTCCATTTGCTTCAAAATGGTGCTTTAAAGTTTTATCCCCTGGTCCCCCAGGACCTCCAGACATATTGATAAATGAAACTGGATTGACTACTCTGGCATCTTGGCATGTAGTCATTTAAAACAGAGACACTTCTGCAAAATTGAAACATTTGTTTGAGAATAATTAGTGCCTTAGCCCAACAATGTTTGGCAGACTTTTCTAATTAGTTGGGAAAAATGATTGAGGCGGGCAGGCAAGCAAGCAGACTTTGTCAGGCATTCTGTGAAAATAATTTGGACCACACACTTGGCTGCAGAGCCAGATAACGTATGTCATTCTTTGCTATCTTAACAGGTAGGAAAAAAGAAAAAGAAAGGAAAAAAAAAAAACAACAACAAAACAACAACAACAAAACAACAACAAGAAACAGCCATCTGCCATCTGAAACCTGAGTTGAGAGGACTTTTCACTTCTCCTAACGCAGCTCTTCTGTGTTCTCTTTTAGAAGCACAAAGATCAAGTCATACTGTGTTAGGCCCCTGTAAATTACTTATTTTCTTTTGTATTTCCTATTGTACAGTAAGAACCAGAGCTGAAAATATTCATTGTGAGTCACAGGCTGTGCGGGTCCCAGAACAATATTTGCAGAGTATTCATGCTGGGATAGCCAACTGTGCTTTCCTTCTCTGGGGATATTTTAACGTGCAGAGCATGTTCGAAGCAAACTGGGACCAGGACAATATCAAATCACCACATGTTTTACTAGGCTGTACAGCTTCCAGACACTTTTCCTTTCTGAGACCCTTCCACAAATTAGTCAATTAGCAAATGAAAACTCAAGGTGCCATGTAACTTACTTATACTAAACAAAATTTCACAGAATTAATTTAATAAATATTGCAGTATAACTTCTTGCTACTTCAAGATAAACACTCCTATATCAATCCAACTAAATCAGGCACATAGTAGAGTTAAAACTTTTTGACATCCAGGCATATCAAGAACTTTACACCTCAGCATTTTGCATTATTTCAGTTTCGGGAGCAATCAAGGGAAAGCAAATTTCAAGTTTTAAAACCAGATTGCAAATTAATCTATAAAACAAATCAGCTGGTCAAACCATTAGATGTAAATGGATATATTACAATTTAAAACATAGATTTATGAAATAATTATATTTGCCAGAAGCATTTGCATATTTCCCATGTCTGCAGACTTTAAGTGGTAGCCATTTGGCCTATTCTGCTTAGATAACCACCTGGAACTCCTTCCTGGGAAAGTTCCCAAGTCTAGACACTAGAAATCACATATGTTTTCAATTATAAGAAACTATTACTATAAGGCCAACATAAATCTCCTACATCAACAATCAGTTGCCAATTATATCACATTCCACAATAAGCCTTCTACTATAACTAATTTATGGAATGCTTGGCTTAGAAAATCAATAAAATTAAGAGAAATTGAGAGGTAAAAATATCAGACCCTGACATTAGAGTGAACATTTGAACCCAAATATTAGTTTGGTGAGTGAAAAAAAATCTGCAGAGAACTGGATCAACAGAACTATAAATTGTACAAGCCAAAAGCTTCATTGTGCAATGATGGTTACGTTATCCACAGTATTCATCACTCACTCCTGCATCATGCATACAAGATTCTGTGAAAGTTTTAATAAAGATAATAGTGATTAGTGTTTTCTTCTCTTGCAACACTAAATATCCAGTGTAGCAGAGGCCAAAACTGCAGTGAGGCTTTCTGAACAATGCAATAAACCCAGGGGGATGTTCCATTTTCCATCATTAACTTTTAAATGTTTTTGCCTTATGATTACAAACAGCAACTATATAAAAATGATGCTTTTGTTTTGTTTTTGAAATAATGGAAAACAAACATGATTTAAAATGAGATTAATAGAAAAACAGCCTTTAACAAAATGAAATTGCATATAGGAAGAGACAGACATTTTATATATATACATACAGAAAGATCACACTTGAAAGGACAAGAGAAAACACCTGAAAGATACCTAAAACAATAGGACAGCTTTCCATTCCATTTCCCAAGTGGACTGATTGTGTTCATCCACCTTATCTTATCAAGCAATATTAGCTTAACTCTTTTGGGTAGTGCTATTTTAATTTATGCACAACAGAGGCCTCTAAGGGAAGGCATTAAGTGCATAAGTAGAAATATTGTAATTTGAAGTTTTAAATTGTGAGTTCATTCTGAAAATGATCCTTTCCCAATTTATAGACAGAAAGAAATAACCAGCAACATCAAGATTAATATATTTAGTTCCAACAACAAATGTTCAGCTTGGTCCTCCGTTCTTCCTTTTAAAATGGATGTTATCTTCCATTTTAATGCATCAATTTATGCAAGTGAATAGCTCAAAGTATAACAACAACAAAAAAAAACACTTAGAAAAGCAAAGACACAAATTAATCATGTCAAACAAATTAGAGTTTTTCCCCCAAACAAAGGATGGTTTAAAAAACCACAGCTCCTCACTGTTACTGTCAGATTAAACTAGGTATAATTGCAAACCATATAATTATCAGCAAGATACTTTCATGGATAGCACATTAATTCATCTTTCTTCTCATTTCTTAATTATTCACTTTATAACACCAAGTTATATTACTGTTTACCTTTAAGCAATTCCTGAAAATAACAGTGTGAGGCAGAGAGACTTTGAGGTGGTTTTAATGACATCTTCAAAGAGTAAAGACTTGGCTCAGGACTGAAAAATGAAGGAAATTCATGCTTAGCCTGAAAAAAAATAGTTTTGGATTTAGATTAATCATTCAAAAGCAAAGAGCACCTGCCTTTTCTGTTCTAAAGAACTTTATATGTCTGGTAATTTCGCATTCACATGCCTCGCTTCTGTGAAGAACTTAAATTTTACATTCTTTGAGTCGCTTCAATTAAGTTTTTCAGGTGTGCATTCTAGAGAAAATCCCCTAAACACCTAAACAAATCCACATTTCTGAGAAGTGGTCTAGTACTTCAGAATGACTCTTTTGCTATGTATATAGTATTTAATACTGATACAAAAACATCAGTGGCTAAGTCTCCCTGACTTCCAGTGAAATACATACAACCTATTTTCAAAATTATACAGATATCCAAGCAGCACCCGTATGGTTTTTCAAAAGCATAATGGTTTAGACCCAGCATTTGAAAAATTTCAACAGAAGCTCAATGCTTTATTTTGTTAGAGCCTTCTGAAAAACCTTGTAAATGCCTGTCCACAGTGCAAGAGTTTTAATCTTGATGTATTCTAAATATTGAATAACTGACTTTACATGCAATAGCCTTTATACACCTTTATTTTTGAACATTTAAATGTATAAGACTCCAGTACAAGGGTTTACTGTATGACTGCTGTATAATCTACGTGTGTTTTTTATTATTTTTCTAAATGTATAAGAATTAGGTCATAACATACAAATAAAGCAGAAAAATCTTAAAAGCTTGATTGTCTTGACAGAAAGAACTGTTGAATGTAAACAAACCAATAATCCTAAAATTAAAATTCATAAATAGAACAGGAACTTCACTCAACTGGATCAAGTGTATTAAAGATCCCTAAAACACCACAATTTATAATGAAAGGCAGAAGCAACGTGCAATAGCTATCATTGCAACAACACTTTCTAATAAATGAGAACATCCAACTGGTCACTGACGACAGGGCACTTTTTTTGACACTTTTTTTTTTCCCAGGATATCATGGAGAGATTTTAATTACACAGCTGCAATGAAGTCAACAAAAATGAAAATAGAATATACCATACAGAAATAATGTAGGCATATTGGCTAGAATCTGATGTCTGTGGTCTTCACTGCAGTCAGTAATCCTAATTAGGATCAGACTGTCTGATACATTGCAGAATTACAAGCAACCCCATAATTTAGTCTTTGAGATACTAGTGTGACAAAAATTAGTGTTACAGCTCAGACACAGATCTCAGAATGATGAGAGATGGTGATCTGAGCATGTTACATCCATACAAATGGCATGCATTCTCATTTGTGGAGGCAAGAAAGAAAAAAGATCTGGAAATAGGAGATGAAGACAACCTGGTCACAACCTGTAGTGTGTTGCTGGGGGGACAGGCTGCTCCTGATTACATGAATAATCATGTGAAGATTGTGAAATGCAGGATATTATTTTTTTTCTTTTCTTGGAGTAGGTTGCATCCCCATTGCAGTTCTTATTGAACAGTTTTATTTCTTGTTTTGATCTCAGGAGTAAAGCAAATAATCTTATTGAGACACCAAGAGATAAAAAAGTGACACACACAAAAAAAGAATGGCAAACATTTTTACCTTCATGGCCTTCAGAGCAGCAAGGGCAAACAGTAACCTCAGCAGCCTCTCAAATGTTTTTAAACTAACAGTAACTAATGGACAGCAAAAGCAGGGCATGGAAATATAGCAGCGCTGGAAAATTCTCATACTTCCCACTGTTTCATGGTCATTGAAATGGCATAGCAGTGACACAAAAAGCTTTTCCAAATGGTTTTGAGTGACAACATTAATCCTTTATCCTCTGCTTCAGGCCAAAGCTGAGAAACTGCAGGAGGTACTTGAAACCTCTTCTCTCAGGAGTTTAGGGGGATGTAGGGCCACACAAAGTTGCAGGATCATGCAGGAGTAGGACTCTGGCCAGCTGTTTTCTTTAAATTTTCCATAAATATACAGCACCTGCAAGCTGCTGGGACCTCAAGTTTAGGATTACAGGGCCACTCAGCCTATCCTCCCCCTTATTCACTGTATCTCACCTATCTTATGTCACCCAAGGACTCGAACTATCCAAAGCTTCCCACATCAGTCATCTCCTCTTTCTCCAGTGTTCATCCAACAGGAGTTGTGATGACCCCAAAATAAAAGTCATCTCCATGCCCTGTGGAAATACACACTAGGAAAGATACTACAGGTTTGTGCAGCTTGTCAGATGAGGAGGCAAGGGTGTTTGGGAAGGGAGAAAAACAGGAAAGGATATCATGGACAGCACTCATCTTGGAAACAAGATTTGTCCTCTCATTTAGGAGGTTACTTTGCTTACTGCATCTCTAGAAACTGAAGCACATAACTATAGCAAAGGAACAGGTAGAAAAAAGTTGGGTAAATTCAGTGGACCATTCCTCCTCCCTTTAGTAGTCAGTTATCTGTTAACAGCAGATCCAAAACACTGAAAGCAAGGTTTGAATGTTATTCCCCAGAACCAATTGTTACATTCAAGACAAAACAACCTATTTTGTTAGTTAGGTTGTGTGACCTCAAATGTGGTACCAAAAACCAACACAAAACCCCAAACCTGACAGTCATGTTTTAAAATCTGGGCCACCTCCTTCACTCACTCAGCAGCAGCATGAAATAGCAGTAATTTCATCTGACGTGCTGATCATCATCCACAATAACTTAGAACAGATTTTTTCACTAAGCTTTTTAGTAAGGAACAAAAGCATTAGCTTATTGCAGTACTCAGAGCAAGAAGTGATTCTCACTGTATACAAACTTAAAGCATACCTTAACAACCTACAGTGTTGCTCTGCTTGATAACAAACTTAGGCAGTGAAATAAGTACAAATTGGGAAGCCATTTGAGATGCTAAAATCTAGAGGCAAGATAAGGAGGTGGCCATGCAGATTTGATAAAGAATAATGCAAACCTACAAGAAAAATGCAGAGAATATACATTGTGGATTTTTTTTTTCCCCACAGATTTGGACTTCTGTTCCCATTGTATTTCTACACCATGCTTTATAAAGGAGACATTGATATTATTTCTATGTCTAACTCATGTTGCGAGACTAGGGAAGAGGGCTATTTTGCTTTTCTGAGCCCAAAGAAACGCAATATTTAGTAACAGCATGTGACAATTGCCTTGGCAATGTTTCCAGAAACTGCAAGCATGCCCATACCCCACCCATGGCAGTGCACAATACACACATCTCTCCAGCCTAAGAGGAGAAATAAGACTTCAGACAGAAAACTGTAAGGATTGATCCTGTGCATGCTGGAGGCAGTGAAGATTTCACCACTGAATTAAATAATAAAACCATTAAATAGCTTACCTGCAAGACAGAGGATAGGAAATGTTTTTAAAAAAAGGGATGGTGGTGAGATAAAACAAAACAAACAAACAAAAAAGTGATGCAGTGGTAACCATAATACAATCATGGATAATTTGTGACCTAAATAAGAAACAAAGGCAAGAGCATAAATTTTCAAAGAGCTGCACAATATATTAAATGTGTACCTTAAAGTTAATGGGATTTGTGTCTCTAATTTAGTCTGAATGCACAAAATGTCCTACCTGTACAGATTTCTGCAAGTACATTTTTCAAATCTTCAACAAGGGAAGAAGAGGAGTACTGATTATGTGGCTTGGGGTGAAATGAGCCATTCGTCAAGAAATACATCAGCAGGCAAAGTGAGGAAGGTAGCCAGAACAGGATGTACCTAACAGGTAAAAAGACAGAAAGGTAGAAAAGGTGCCAGTAAGGACTACAGAGTTAATCCGAGACAATACAAGTGATAAATACATGGAGGCACAGACTGTAAAAATGGAAAATTTCATTCAACAACAGTGACACACTAACACACATTTCCAGGATGAATGGGCTCGGGGATCAGATGAGGTTCAATGAACAGCTGCATGAGTATATTACTGACAACACACACAGAATTCACAGACATGATAAATTAATATTATGCCCCAATATCAACAGGGATGTACAGCCAACTGATTCCCAAAATTGGACTATATCTTCCAGGAGAAGAAAGAGAAATGCTGTGGAAATTCTGATTTATATTGTTGCAGATGTTGTTTTAGTTTAAGAAATGATACATTCTTAATTCTCAACAAGAATAAAATTACTTTCTAAACTTATCAGAAATTAGGCTGAGGCAACAACCAGATATTTACATTCCTGGTTAGACATGGACTCGCTTGGCATGAGAGAGTCAGTGAAGCATGGAGAAGATTCTCTTTCCTAGAGCTAAAGCCCAGCTGAAGACAGACACATGACACTTATTCACATTCATTTCAAAGATGAAAAATTTGCTTTGATTAAGCAAGTTAAAAAAAAAATACACACACACACACAAAACTAACACTTTGATCCAAAGTAAAATTGTAATGAAAAACAAAGTCAATTCCAACTTTCCCAGTTTTCCATGACTCACAAGCAAACCTCAACACATAAACTACCGAAGCTCCCACCTCTGAGGCAGTTCTGTAACTCTTGTACAATGTTCAGCAGCTCAGCAGAACGGTTTATGGATGGAAGTGAGAAATGCCCCATCCAACAGAAAGGACTGGGAGCTGAGGACAGACAGCCACCCCTTGGCACTTGCAGGGATAAGAGACAGGGTCTTTGAATCACACTGAGCTGGTGAAATTAGTATCCAGAGACCACCATCACCAAGACTTGGATTCAGCACTGATTTCAGGAAGGTTTATGTAGCTTTCTGAGCAGCTAGGGCACATCTATGATTTTCTATGTAAAATAAAGTTGCAGACAAACCCTTTTAACTGGCATGGCTGGAGGCTGGCAGCGGGTGGTCAGGCTACATGCTTAGAGAAGGGGAAAGGGGAAAACTAAGGCAACAACAAACAGCCCAGAGCAAACCATGCCCACATACTAACAGTGAGAAAAGCTGAGCTCCAGAGATGAATCATTTTCAGCCTACCTTCCTTAAGAAGTTGCAGTGCAGCTGGAAGAAAAGTAGCTCTCTGAATGAGAGAGAAATAGCAAAGTGGGTGCCACTTGGGCAAAATGGAGCTAGGGAGCTATAAACTAATCCATCTGACCTTTGTTGACAAGGTAAGGTCAGAGTTTAATAAAAGATGAGATCACAAACCTTCTGGGGAAATAGCCTGATAAAGTTAGCTTCAAATGATTTAGGAAAGCAAATGTCCTCACAAACATAATGAGATTTTTTTCTTTTGACTGAGCCAATCATATGAACATGTAGAAATAGAGCCACGAGCCTAATGCACTGTTTCAAAAGGTATGTGAACTTCCTGTAAAGGTAATAACACTTGGAATACAAGACGGATGCCATCTTTGATTGGACTTGGTGGAACGAAAGAAAGCTGTTTCCAACTACTAAATGTACCAGACAGTTCAAAGGAAAATTAAATGCATGTTCAGTAAGAAAGCACTAAAGGACCACATCAGAGAGCAAAATTCTCCTGTTACTGAAAAAGTCTGACATGGGGCCCCATACCCAAATAGAGCCACACCCTGCCAGACACCAGCCCATCCAGGCACCAGCTGGAGCAGTTGCCCACTTTCAGACAGCAAAGGCTGAACTTGGGAAGCTAACATAAAAGCTCTCCCCAAAATCCCCTAAACCCTAAGGCTCTAAACCTCAACATTGGCAGACAAACTGGCAAATTAAATTGGGTGGACCCACAAATGGCATAAGTGAAAGGACCCTGCTCAAACATACTTGGTCAGGATAAGGCTCAGATGTGAATTCACACAGCTCTGAGACAGGAGCACAATTATCTGTTAGACACAACAGGCTCCCCTTGCTGATGGGAGGCAGCTCCTTTAAACTCTCCCAGTAGTGCAAAACAGTCTTCAGATGATCTTCTAGTCTGCTGGGAGAATCCCCCATGGGTGGAGAAACCCTCACATGTCATGGTATAGATCAGCAATCTGCTAATCCTTGGTGGGCTGTTGGTACAGGAGAGTATGGCAAGAGTCAGCACTTGAACACTCCAACATCTAGAAATACAGTAGAGTAGTTTTTAATCATCTCTGGTTTTTATGCTACAGTGAGGTTTGGCCTGTATTTAGACAAGTATAAAATGGCTTATAACCATTTTTTCCATCTATACTCATGAATATATATACATATACATCTGTTCTCTTGAGAAAGAATAGACATTAAACTAGTACAGTGCAGTACAGTGAAGCAGGCAGGGTGCACCTATTGGAAGAATTTCAGAACATTTTGAGGCTCAGAAAGGGCCCTGCATGAGTTCTGAAAATCTGGACATGTGTGTGTATCTTAACAGCACTGAGGTTTCAGCCACTGGGATTTTCAGAAGGCAGCTGCAAAATCGTCTCTGGCTGCCCCCCACCTACTAAGACACAGAGGACTGTGTCTGGCAGTACAGAAGATGCAATGTGGCTTCACAAAAATGTGCTGTAATCATGAGAAATCACAAGGTAACAACAGCAGGGAAGCAGGGAGAGACATTCAGAACAACAGTGAGTTCCAGGACCGTATGAAGCAAGACACTCATCAGCATAAGGAATGGGCTTCAGAGTTCGTACATACAGAGCCCAAAGTGGTCAGATTATAGCAAGAAGAGTCATTTCAGCTGCTACAATGAACCAAGTAAGAGCTCTCAGGTTAAGTTCACAGAGAATGGGTGAACAACTTTTGATATCAACCATTATATACATTTCTCCCTAGAAAGAGTTTCTCATCTCACACATTCTCATTTTATGCATGTGGCAAACTCTTTCATAATCCATTTTTTCATTTTAAGCACACCTGGAAGGTCAGAAAAATTAAAATTAAAGAGGAATATAAAATCAGCCATTCTTGCTTTCAATTTTACCTGCCAAATTTGTGTCTGAAGCTGGTGTGTCCACCAACATCTGTTTAATCTTTGGCACTAAAAATGCTTCTACAGTTTTAATTACTAACGTTTGAAAAAATCAGCGACAGGGAACCAGACACTTTAATTTACCCTGTGAATACAAGTAATGGGTAACAACATGAAGCAATTTATTTCAAGCTTAATCCTAGGAGAAACATTTATATGTAAAAGAACAAAATCCATAAATATTAAATTACTGATATTTACCAAAGAGGCAATACAATTTAAAAATGGTTAAAAAATAGACTGAAAAAGATCTTGACTACCACGAGGAATTCAAAACATTTTTTTCAGAGATACACAAATTAAATTATAACTTGCAATAAAAAAAATGGCTGAAAAACTGCACTAGTAAAAATATGAGATAAATTATCTTGTCAGCCATGCTTTAAAACTAAAGCATGAAGGTGGCCTCAGCTTTAGAAAGGGAGCACTAGAAAATCGCTGCCCATGCTGGCATGGTTTGCCCTTGCAGAGACATGGCTCTCAGCTGTGACACAACTTCCCCAGGAACTGTGAAGGCTGAACTTCCACAAGACAGACACCATGGGACAGGAAAGCCCCACACCTTTCTGTGCCACCCTGTGAAATCACATTTTTTAGAACAGAAGCAATGGTATTTGCCACATGGATCAGTAGTTAAATCAAATTAAGCTGATGCTCCCCAGCCATACTTTCTTTAAAAATCATTAACATTGAGCAACAAGAGTAGGTTTGCATACTTAGCTGTGATAATTTCACACTTCCATACCTGTTCTTCTCTTCCCTTACCATTGTTAATTACATCCTTGAGCACTTCCTTGCCAGGATAACATTTTTGTCTTGTTGCTCATCTTCTCTCAGCTGCTAAATTCCTAGCACTTGGCTTGTGCTATTATGGCCTGTCTTGGGGCCTCTCTCCATTGTCAACAGCTTCCTGCTGCCTCTTGGCCTGAGCAGCCTTCCTTGCAAGTAATGGGAGGAAAAAAACAGAGCAAAGTGGTGAAGAGAAACAGTACCATTTGCAACAGAAGCAGCACAAGATGAACTGATCCCTTTTGTTCTGGGGGAAAACACTCTTACTACAGGAGTGAAAAAATTTCTGCTTAAATGAGCCTTGGCAAATTCATAATGTGAGATATGCTCTAGAAACACAGACCACCTAAAAGGAAGTGTTTAAGTCACCAGGGCACATTGATTTCTTGTTAGAGCCTCAGTACTGTAGATTTAATGGAACTTTAGTAACCCACATTTCCTCAAAAAATGATACTAAAAACCAATTCTTTTATGAAGAAACTGGAGCTGGTCAACCCCTGCAACACATGTCATGGCTGAAGTACTGATTATTTTTTTCTTAAGAGAAAGTAATGCAAGCATTTCTGAAGTGCTCTATTTCTAAGAGACCACCTAGTTAAATAAAACTGCAAAATAAAATAAAGCAGAAAAGTAATTTACTATGCTATTTAAAAATGGTTCTAATCCTTGCTTTTGCCATAACAGTTAAGACAGGTTTTTCAATTATCCAGGGGGCTTATTTATTTATTTATTTATTTATGTATTTATTTAATTTTATTTTTAAGTGTAGTGTGGTGTGCATGTCAGGTTTTGAGGGATTTGTTTGTATAAGCAAGCTTTATCTTACACACTGATCTGGATATTTCTTGTGCCAGAAAGGTATGGCACAAGATAGCACTAACTATTAAGCACATGGTAGTATGGCAGTCTAATCACGTTGTAGGAAGCAGACAAGAAATGTCATAACAATCCTTGGAGTCAGTTTATCAAAGTACCATTTCATCTGCCATACATTAAACATCAGCTACTGAACAGAAGTTCATGCTAATTTCAACTTAATTGGAATCTCAATGCAAATGCCAGCTCCTCTACTTTGCTACAGGCCTTCTAGCTGCAAAATGAAAGCTGCTGATAAGTATGTTTGTTTAAACAAATACACCACAGGAGAAGAACAAATACAAATGGGTCCTACTCTGCACGTACCTCTACATGGGTAACTCCCAGCTGAAGATAACACGAGCTATAATTACCTGGCAGATGATGAAATTTGGCTCAATAGCCGTTACTCCAGGTTTTCACATACAACTGGATAGACAGTTTCTGGGTAACTGGAGTCAGGATTAAAGCAGATTGGAACATCTTTATCTGACACATTCACACTATTTTTTTTTATTTTTATTTTTTCTCCACTGATTGAGTGTGAAGCTGGTGCAGTACATCAAGGTCATTTCACACACCTGGAATTCAAAGGAAAGTACTATAAATACTGTGGTGGTAATCAACAATGATTCATAATTCATTCAAGTAAACATGAGTTTAGAAATAAAAATCTATTTAATAACTCAATCTAATTACAAAATAAATTAACTGAATATGCTATGTTTAGAATTTCCCTAGGTTTGATTAATATTTTTAGACTAAGAACTCTCACCCATTAAAGCTGAAAATATCAAACACAACATGAGAATAACAGGTTGGAAGTGGCTGAAAATGATAGTCAAATATTAATTTACTACCATCTCTAGTGTCACAGAATAGCATCAAATTCAACTTTCCCTCTATGTAAATATGCCTATAGGAAGAGAGAGTAAAACTGCATCACCAAACAACGTGATCTGGATATATTGCACAAGTCAGAGCAGGCAAGGAAATCAGAACTATATTATGAACAACAGCCAGTAATGGACAGGAACTGACCTAGAGGGATTCACCACCAAAAACTTCATATCAACCTAAAAGCTTGTTTAAGGCAAAGGAGTTGAGAATAACATGTGAAGACTGGGAGCTTTCCAACAGACACTGAACTGCACACCAGCAATAGAGCTGACCTCCTGCCACCACCACAACTCAGTCAAACCTCCTGGAAGAGAACTTGAACAATCCCACGGAATTTCCATGTGTACCTTCATAAGCCTCTGTGATCAGGCTTTTGGGCCATTGGTGGCAGTGAGTTGTGAGCCTGAGAGTTACTGCGAATTGCTGCATTTGTGTCTTTGTGAAAAGTGCTCTGTTACGATCAACTCCGAATCAGTGAAAATCCTGGAGTTGCACTGGGTGCTATCTGAAAGGGGGGGAATACAAAGATAATACACTGTAAATTGGGCTTCATTTCATTAACTCTGATCCAGTAGTTAATACCTTACAATATGGTCATACACACTGCTTCACATACATACACACACTGCTTCCTCATATACTTGCCAAAGAAATTAAGCATTAATAACAGGCTAGTTCACTGTTGTCTCTAGTTTAAATCATTGCTGAGAGGCAGAAGAAAGCTTTTTTTTTTTCCTTTTCGTGAATTATAAAGTCTGCAAATTATTAGAGTGCAAATTAACAAGTTTCTACTGTGTAGAGTTTATGTACATTTAAATTCCACTTTATTGGCTCTTAATTAAATACATATTAGGAATGTCAGTTTGAAGCACTACGACACTCTCCTAATGCCTTCGTTATTTTCTCTTCAGTCTTTTTCTAATTTCCAATTTCAAATTGTTGCCTTTGTAACCATTTTAAAACTAGTATTTACTATTCCTACTTAATATTAGTAAACAACCTTTCATATTGCAAGCACTCTAAGATATCAATTTATCCTAACAGAGCCTCTTTTTTTTTCTAAGAATAGTTTTTAAGTATGTGAGACCTGAGGTGAAAGGCATACAGAGCTTGTTACAACCCATAAAAGTAACTTAAATCACAAACAGAAAGGAGCTCAGATGGGAAAGGAATTGATGGATTTTTGTTGTTGTTGTTTTGGAGAAGGAAATGAGTTTTTCAGCTATAAAAATAATTTTCAAATCAGTCATAACCTATGGATGTAATTTGGTTCAAATTCAACAGATATCTTTGGCTAAAAGAAACAATGAAGGGAAGGGCTCAAAAATGCCATAATCATTATTTATAAAGCATGGGTATTCTTTCAGGCCAGATTTACAAATCGGTTGGTCTGTCTTGTATAGAAGAAGGCCTTCTTTGCCCTGATGCCCCAGGCACTCCAAGCAGGGCTATAGTGCATGCTAGGACAGTGCTTGGCATGACAATACTGAACCTATTCACTGGCCCAGAGACAATGAGGTGTATAGAAACTCCTAAAACAATTTAAACAGCATCATTTTGCCTGCTCTAAAGGCGCGTGATAACGTCCAGGCATGGGACAGTGATAAACAGCTGGAAGCAGGAACTATTTCAACCAGTACAGCCGCAGCCAAAGGACGATGCTCAAGGATGTTCACCTACAGCTTAGGTACGATAGCAGAGATCAGCAGCTGGGGGAGCACCCTCAGAGATGCATACTCTGCAGCCCTTATCCCAGTGAACGTATATTTTATTTTCTGAAATAGCAACTGCTAAGTTTGACAAGTCTATACATCATAGTTATTTTCTATATTATTTATTTTTCATTTCACAGAATTATTTTTGAAGCTGGAGACGATAACTTATTTCAAGAATTAAAGCATTCTTCTATTACTAAGTTATCTATAAACAGACTTTTTTAATAAACTCATGGATTATTCATGCATAAAAATACTACAAATATATTACTGCCTACAGTCTGTTTACTACTTGCTGCTCTTAGACTTTCAGCTATTTATATCATATACAGTCGTAAATCACATGCCGTAGTTTCTCATCCAGCACTGGATGAATGAAAGTGTTATAAAGGAGGAGCAAAATAAGAGACTTTACAATGAAGATGAAGCGTTTTCAGAATGCACCTTTCAGAGAAAGTATACACTTACAGTCTCATATATGCAAATATAACTCAAGAGAAAGACTAAGGTAGATCAAGAAATCCTCAATCATTCAAATAGTATAATATTTAAATTTTTGAAACATTCATTCTGTTTTAACTAGTTTGCTTCTTCCTAGCAGGAAATACATATGTTGAAGCAAGCATAGTAAAGCTTAGGTCCCTAGAGCTCAAATTGAAACCTTTTACAAACAACAAAAATAAAATGGAGACAGAAATGGGAAAACTGCAGTCTGGTCTTGGTTTGCAGAAGCTTCTGTTCAATTCATTTACTGAACAGTGAATCTTCTGCAGTGCAGCATTAATGAGAACAGATACAAAAAGCTTTCAAACTTAAACAAAGAAATGGCTGCTACTTTAGGGTATTTTCAGGCGTTTTCCACAGATTAACGTAGGAGGCAGATGCTAGAATACCAGCACACAATACTTTAATTTAGTTCAGCATCTCTGCAGGCAGTGGCTTCTCTATTACAGCTAGTTCCCAGAACACAACAGAATGTTATTGCAGGGCACTTTTAGATTAAAATCCCCAAATAAGCTGTTAGACTTTACACACATCAATCTTTTGTAAGTACAATAAGGCAGATTTAATTGGTTTTACTTTCATTTTATAACAAATGTTATTATCTATTATATAAGAAAGCTATTTTAAAAAGAACTATGAAAAGGATTAGAAAGCAATTCCATAAACGATAAAATAGGGGCAGGGAGTTATTATGGACAAATGTGAGCAAGTACATTGCCAAGGTTATTTACTTAATGCCAAATAATCATCTTTGGAAGTCGAAATAATATACTTAGTTTCACATTAAGGTTAGCAAGAAATTGAGAAGTTATTGAAGAGGTAGAAGAAATTGGAAAAAAAAAAACAAAAAATGAATCCACATAACAAATATTAACATGATGATGATTAATATTTTATCTAAACTAGTGAGGATGAATAGCACCCAGCCTATAATTTGGCCTGAACTGCAAAGCTCCAAAAGGAAACCACCTTGATGGAAACCAAGGTATTTGTGGTATTACGTGGCAGTAGCCTGAACCCCAGTCAAGCTCTTAAAAAAAAGTACAAGTTGGTTTTCTGTGAAGATCAGCTTCAGATGTTGTGAATTTCTACAGTTAAAAAAGATCCTCGACAAGGTGGGTGAGTGAACACACAGCACATATTCATTTTTATTTATAGATGCCTAATTACTTAAGAGCATTTTAAACAGATTTATCCTATTTTCTGCTAGTGCCCAGTGCTAATATTTTAGCAATACCCACACATCTACATATACACATGCTTCAGTTCAAATCCATGAGCACTTCAGCTAAGGAAGAAGCTGAAAGGTGAAGCTAAGGTCAGCTCTAAGCGACCTGTCCTCCTTCCAAGGAGAAGCAAGCAGCATACAGGTGATGCAGACATGCAGTCCAGCACGTTGCATTTTTTGTCAGAAGTGTTTTACTGTATTGCTGGGCTTTATTGTCTATTATAACTTCTCAGAACAGTTTCAAGTGGAAAAATTTGAATTAAAAATAATCTGTTAAAATCAAAATCATAAAAAGAATACACATTTCAACGTCATACTACCAAAAGGTTCCCAAGCTCTCCAGCAGGACTGCTAGTCAGGTCCAGAAAGCACACAAATGACAGGACCTGAAAATCCAAGCTTTCCTTCAGTAAAAACATTTCCATAAAATTCTGTTTCACCTCTTTGTAGGCTTCAAGCCCAATGTGGAACAAATTAACATAGCTCTGTAACTTATTGGACAGATGACCTTGCAATGACCTACTGGAGTATTATAGTTTCAAGACTGATTTTTTCTGCACTCACCAATCCATAAAAAATAAAAGTCAGAATGCTTCATTTATTGGTGTGCATTTGTTTATCTGAAATTCTGACAATATTTTTATATTTTTCACCTTTATGAGGGCTAACATAACTCTTGCTCTGTGTCTCTGGTATGTTCCTCTCCCCAGCCTAATGGTTGCCTCCTCCACCTCTCCTTGCAGAGCTTACGAAGATATCTGTGCACACTCTTCCTCCTTCTTTGGCAGTTCTCCTGGCTCCGATTTCCATAGCAGGAAACTCACCTCGCTAATAAATCAAAGAGCTCTGGAAGAGGTGACTCACCACCTTCCTGTAAGTGGTTAAAATAAAAATGGACTACGGTCATTGCTGTGGTCTTCACTGCTCTCTTCTTTAAGCTCTGGTTTCCCCCCCACACCCTATACCACAGGGTTTCTCATCTCCCTGAGTTATTTTCAGCTTTTAGTGCAACATACTCCATCTTTTCTGGTTGCCTTTGTCATTTCATCTGTTCCTGCCCTCCCCTCCCCCTACAAGCTACACTCATGGTCTTCTGTGTCATTAGAGTCTCTGCCTTCATAGCTGACTGATTAGCCATTGCAATATCTCAGAGTGTAACTTGACATGTCCCTCTATTCAGATGAACAGATTTGGATGTTGTATGCAATAGAAAACAAACACTCCCAATATACAG